TTGTTTTGCTATTTGTGTCAACCTCTTGGCAAACTGTCATTACTTCACTTCTTGACGGCGATGTACTTGCTGCTGCAGCTGTTGTTGTCTCTCTCTTTCCTCCCTGCGTGCCTCGTCTTTCAGACGATATTGTACCGGGCCTCGTGGGGAGAATGTTCCGGTCAGCAGTTTTTGCTTTAGCCACGTCTTGAAGTGCGGGTCTGCGTTGAGTCGATCTTCGTACTCGCGCTGCCTCACGAAAAACCACCGTTTCCGCACGTATCCGAACACGTTTTCGACGTCTTCTGGGACAAGGCCCGCGTCCAGTTGTCGCTGGGCTTCTTGTTCGAACCACTCTGTTGATGGTGTCTTTTCCATGTATCGGTTTTGCCGGTAATGTTGTTCGTATACGGGCTGGTGTCTTTGTCGTGCGCGTGCTGGTTCTGCTGCTGCGACTGGAGGCGCGCGTGGGCCTGTGGCTGTTGCTACCGAGGTGTCGCGTGCGTCTGCTTGTTGTTGTTGTTGTTGTTGCTGCTGCGTACCGTGCTGCTCGTTGGCGTCGTCTGAGTTGTCGGTATCACTGACCGCTGTAGCTTGCTGGTTGTTTTTATTTCCGGGTAGTCTAATCAACTCGGCTAGTGTGATGCCGCTCTCTACTGCTGTTTCCCACATGTTCTCTTTCGCCCAGTTGATGAGGGTTTCCGACATCCTCTTGGTTATCGGCTTGTGGAAAGCTTCGACGTATTTATCGTGTAAATATTTCTCGATTGCGCACGTCGCGCGTGTGGCGTAGCTCTGGTATTCCTCCCAGAAGGCGTTGAGTGCGGCGTCTGATACCGGTGGCTTTTCGTATTCCATTTCGTCGTCCCACCAAATGGTACCGTCGTCGGCAGCGTGTGCGTGTTTGTTGCCTTCATTGAAGTCTTGCCGCTCAGCGTCAGTTAGGCGTAGTGTAGCCAACTCGAATTGGAGCTCAGTCTTGCGAGCTTCTGTAAGGTTGAGGCCGCCAGGGCGATGGTGATATGTGAAGTCGCGTCCGATGCTGTGCCTATAGAAGTTTGGCAGTAGTGCCTTCTTCTCCTCGCTCATCTCTGTTGGTTCTGAGACCGAGCTGGTGTTGAGGTCAGACATCCTGTGTGCACTCACTCACTCACCCACGTTTTTCACTGGTAATTCTACCGAACTCGCCCGTGTTTTTGCCGGTGGTTGCGCAAAATGGCGGCGCTCCGTGTTTTGACTGTCGGCGGCGTGCTCGCTCACGTGTGTTTCGTCGTAGACTGGCGGTGCGGCGCTGGCGGGGAGGGTGGAGGCGACGTGCGCGCGCAGCTCACTGAGGCATCCTGCGCGTGTGTTGACGTGGTGCAGTTGGCGTGCGTGGTTTTTTTTGAATTTGCTCGATGTGAGTAGAGTATACGGTACATATTGTTGTGAATTTTAATTGTCGACTTTTTCGGTATAATTTTGATGTACCGTGCTGCTGCTAATTTTCAGCGATCCTCTTTTTCGGTCGACCTCGCTTGCGTTTTTCTAATGGTTGTGCAGATATCATATCTTCTTGTGGTGCGATTTTCCGTGGGCGGCCGCGCTTTCGTTTCGTCTCTACGACAATTTCATTAGTTTCTTGAGTTTTCTTGGGACGTCCGCGGGGTCGTTTATTGATAGGCAGTGTGGGCAGTGGCAATTCTTCTTTCTTCTCTCTTGAGTTTTCGATGTACGGTTTGAGGTAACGAGTGTGCCAAGAGCTTTTGAGTACTTTGTTATTTTCGTCTTTTAACGTATATATATTATTTCCTATTTTAGCTGTTATCGTGTATGGACCGATGTATGGTTTTAATAACTTTGCTGAAATTTGTTTCGCGCCGGACGATAACTGCATGTTTTCGTGGAGTACTTTGTCTCCGATTTTAAATGTGTCTATACGTTTATTTCTATTGTGGTAAGTACTCTGCCGTCTGCTCTCGTTTTTACTATTTTGTGCAGCTTGCACGTGTGCGGTTTTTAAATTGTGCATATGGTTGTTCCATGTTTCGGTATCGTTTTGTATTGTGTGTATTTGTGTGTCGTTACTTTCGGCGGAGTCTTGTAATTTATGTATTGAGTTAGATAGCATTTCCACTTCTCTTCGCCAAAGAGTAGGTGGTTGTAATTCGCGTCCGTATATAAGATACGCTGGTGTGTACTCTGTCGTGGCGTTTTTACTGGAGTATATGCAAATTGGAATTGTGGTAAATACTTATTCCAATTTGTGTGTGTGTGTTTGAGGTATGCTCGTATCATTGTTTTTAACGTTCGATTTGCTCTCTCGGTCGGGTTGCCTTGCGGTGAATATACGGCTGTCGCTTCGTGTAAAATTCCGCATTTCTTTAAGTACTCTTGTACTGGTGCGCCTATATATTCTTTACCGTTGTCGCTTAATAAGGTATTCATGCAACCGTGCTGTAGAATTTGACTTTCGATAGCTTCCCTTACGGATTCTGATGATTTGTCTTTTAACGGTTTGCATACAATGAAGCATGATTGTAAATCTATAAAAACTATTAGAAATGTGAATCCTTCTACTGTGCAAGGGAGTGGGCCTAGTAAGTCGATAGCAACCGTTTGCCATGGTCTGTCAATGTTTCGGGATTTCATAAAGTCAATTTTTCCGCGCTGGTCTGGTTTGTTTCGTTGACAAATGTCGCATTTTCGAACGTAATCGCGTGCATCGCGGTACATGCCAGGCCATGCGTAGTTTTGTGTCATGCGTGCATATGTTTTGTCTGTACCGAGGTGTCAAGCTTGTGGCTCGTCGTGAGATTCTCGCAAGATTTGTGTTCGATGTTCTACCGGTACCACTAATTTCCAAGGGTTTTTGTCATCGTCTTTGTCGTTATTATTTTTGTATATATATAGATTGCCGTTAATTAATTTGTAGTCTCGGTATAATTTCGGGTGTTTTATTAAATCGCGTACTCGCTTTATGTACCATTTGTCTGTTGTTTTCTTCGCGACTTCTATTGCGCTGCATTCATTTATTTCAGCTTCTGCCTCGCATCCCTCGTAAATTCGACTTAATGCATCCGGTACCACCATCTTTACACCTGCGCGATGTATTATTTTGAAGTCATAACAAAGTAGGTCTTGTACCCAACGCGCTATGCGTCCTGTGGGGTTTTTCTTCTCGAAAAGCCACCGCAGAGCACTATGGTCTGATACTACCGTGAAATGGTCTCCTTCGAGGTAACATCGGAATTTCTCTATTCCCCATTTCACGGCTAGGCATTCGCGTTCGGTCGTGGAAAATATCCGTTCGTTTTTCCGTAATGCGCGACTAGCGAACGCAATAACGTAGTCTACTCTGTTGACTCTTTGAATGAGTACTACTCCTAAGCCAACATTGCTTGCGTCGCATTGGAGGAAGTACTCTCCGTCTGGGTGCGGGCGGTGTAACATCGGTGCATCGATTAACATGGCTTTTATCTTTTGGAAGGCGCGTTGGTGTTCGTCGCGCCATTCGAACCGTGTATTTTTCTGTGTCAGTTTTGTTAGTGGGTCTGCGATTTGCGCGTAATTACGTAAGAATTTTCGGTACCATGATGCCATACCGAGAAATCTGTGAAGTTGACGTAGAGTTTTCGGTCGAGGGTAATTTTCAACGGACACTGTTTTGTCGGGATCGATTTTTATACCGTTTTCATTTACGATGAAACCTAAATATTTTATTTCCGACTGGCAAAATTTACTTTTATTTCGGTTTATAGTTAGTCCCGCGTCTTTGATACTTTTAATCAGTTTATTCAATAACTCCATGTGTTCTTCGAACGTTTCGGTAACCAACACTATGTCATCGAGATAGGCGTAGCAGTGTGGCTCCAATTCGCCGATAATTTTATCGATTAACCGTTGGAACGCGGCGCCCGCGCCGCTTAGTCCCATTGGTAATCGTTTGTACTGCCATAATCCGCGACCTGTAACCGTGAAAGCTGTGATGTGGCGGGAGTGTTTATAGAGCTTTATTTAGTGGTAAGCTTTGCTGAGGTCTAGCGATGTTATGTATCTCGCGGTACGAAGTTTGTTCAATATTACCTTCATGTACGGTAAAGGGTAAGCGTCCTGCTCGCAGTTTTTATTTACCTCACGTAAATCGACACACATTCGATACTCGTTCGCTGACTTTTTAACTAGTACTATAGGACTAGACCATTCCGATTCTGCCGGCTCGATGATATCCTGCGCTGCTTGCTCGTCGATTATATCGTGTAAAGCTTTTTCGAGCTTCGGCGATAGTGGGTAATATCTTTGCTTTTTCGGTTTTGTACCGGGTCGCAGTTTTATTTCGTGTTCGATTAATGGTGTGTATGGTAGCTTTTTATTTTTATTCGGGTTCTTATCAATCGGTAAAATTTCGTCAAGGATAGATTGTACTTTAGCTGCTTGTTCTCTTGTTAATTTTCTTATACCGCTTTCTATTGGTTTTTCTGCTTGTTTTATTTCGATGGAGCACGCGTCGAAAGCTACTTCGTTATTCGGTATTACCTCTATTGAACAAAGCTCGAATTTCTTTTTATGTGTATGACCGTCACATTCGTAAGTATATGTGTCATCTGCTGCGTTCATCGATATTTTATGTTCACGTATTAAGTCCAGTCCGAGAATCATGTCGTATGGTATCGTCGGTACCATTAGTACTTCTGCGTCTATTTTTAATGTATTTAATTCGATCATGGTTTTTATGTATCCAAACGCTTTCTCGAGTTTACCGTTTGGCATTCGGAAATAATTGACTGTTGAATCACCTATATCTATGTTATTATCGCAGCATAATTTAGGCCCGATGTTACCAAGGATTGTTCTCGATGCGCCGGGGTCGTATAGAGCTTTAATTTTTGTGTTTGCGATTTTTACCTCTAGCCAGTACCTTGGGTATACTTTAGATTTACCGTTAGGAGTGTTATTTATTTGATCGGCGAACCACACTGTGTTTTTGGGTTTACGGGCTGAGTGTTTTATTGAAGACGTGGCGGCGCCCGTTGTCGCTCCGTCTATCTGCCGTTTCCCGAATTTTTGCGGTCGTCTAATTTTGAATTTTTGTCGTCGCGGTATTTATCGCGACTATCACGTCTGTCGGCGTTGCGTTTGTTGTTTCTGTCGCGATTGTCACGTCTATCGTTGTTCCGTCTGTCGTTTCTCTCGTGTCTACCGCTGTCTCTGTCGTCATGCTTATCATTGTCACGATGTTGTCTGCTATTACTGCGAGTTCTGCTGTACTCTCGTCTCTCATATTTACCGTACTTGTCGCGATTCCGAGTTTCGTCGCGACTTCGGTGAGAGCCTTTCGAACCATTGCTGTCTTTACTTCGGCTTCTGCTATCACCCCTGCTCGAGCTTTTATAGTACCACGGGCTTTTACTCCGCTCGCGATTTCGGTACTCATTTCTGTTTCTTCGATCCCATCTCTCGCGACTACGACTGTGCCATCTGTCTCCGCTGTGGCTGCGGTATCCACTGTGGTTGCGTCGCGAATCGTATCTTTCGGTATTCATTGCCGCGATTTGATTTTTCAACGTGTCAAGTTCTGCGCGTAAGTCCGATTCGACTGTTGTTGTTGCGCAAGCTTCGCTCGGTATAAATGATTGTTTTTCTGCTTGCTCGCGTGATCTCTTGCCCGATTGGAATGCTTTCCCTAACTCCGTCGCGAACTCGATAAACTCATGCAAGCTCCTATGAAACTGCGTTCGTAACAAGGGCATGTAATCCGGTAAAATGTTCTTGTAAATTCTCTCTTTCTTTTTCTCGTCTGTTACTGGTTCGTCCATCTCATCGAATAAAATCATTAATGCGTCAATATACTCTCGTACCGATTCGTTTTGTTGTTGCTTGCGTGCTCGTACTTCGTCGTTTTTTCTTTCGGTGTAAAGCTCGTCCGAGTATTCTTTAATCATGTTAACGCGAATCTCGTCGTATGTTGCCCATTTGCTTTCGTTTCGGCGGTAGTGAGCTGCTGCTCCGTTTTCTACCAACATGTGAAAACCTCGTACCATGTCGTTTTTCGTTAATCCCGCGGATTTTTGCATCTGTTCGGCTTTCCGAAAGAAATCTCGGACGTCTTCCTTCTCGGTACCGTCGAACTTAAGGTTCCAATTCGGTATAATTTTAGATAAGTCTCGAGTCTTCCAAGGTTCGGGTGTGTACGTGTTAGGCCAGCGAGGTGTTGACGCGACGGATCTTTGGCCGCTTGTGCGTGGTTGTGGTTGTATCGCTGCGGGTATTTGCGACTGTAGCGACAGGCTAGCTATTTGTGCTTGTAAAATATCGGAATCTTGCTCGTCTGCAAATAGCAAATCGTAAGTTGCTTTATTTACAACGCGGCGTTTCCCGTCGGGGCCGGTTATCTCGTATGTTCTGGTCTCGCTGTTAGCAGTGCTCGTGGATGGGGTCGTGGTTGGGACAGCACTTGTACCGGTCGTCGCGACTTCTTTGATTGTTTTGTCGCGATCTTGACCTGCCGCATTTGATTCGAATTCTTCGATTTCGTCAAGGTACTCGTCGACCAAGTTCATGTGTGTGTCTTCGTCGTGGTCGCGGCCCGCGTCATTGTCTGTCTGGACATATTCGTACGATAACCTTTTCGCTAATCGCGTCTGTTTCTCTACCCCGGTACCATTCGGTTTCAGTTCAAGTCGCGTCAAAGCTCTTTCCAATTCTTGGGGGGTGAGTGATTGAGCGTGAGCTTGCGCTCTTTCTATTGTCCAATAGTGTTTTGACATCTCGTCGGCTTCGATTTGACTTTGTTTGATCGCGAGGAAATTCTCTAGCATGCGTCCGCGCGATTGTTCGTCAGCCGCTCCAACCTCGAATTGCGCGGCTTCGTATTTGCCTTGTAATTGATCCGCGAGTCGCTTTCTTTTTTCTGTAGCTGAGCCGGTTTGTAATAATCCCAATCCGAGTAATGCTACGTTCAAGGCTTGCCCGGATTGATTGTCTGCGAAGGCTTCAGCCTTAGCTTCGGCCCAGTATTTGGTCATGAACCAATGTGTTGTTTTTATTGTGTGTATAAAGTTTGTGTTGGGTGTGGTGTGTATGTAAATGTAATACCGTATGCATACTTTTTTCTTCGTTGCTTAATGAGACAACGGTAAATACCACAACGGAAATAATGAATATCAAAAGTAATTATTCAATGACGTTATATAAATATGTATTAATTAAAAAGAAAAAAAAAACATGCGTTTCTCTGCCGCTACCAACGGTAATTAATCGTTGTAGTAAATAATAAAAATATTCGGTATCAAAACAAACAAAAAGAAAAAAAAACTTTTATCAAGGGAGGAAAAAAAAATCTATCGATCTATATCGATAACAGCTTTTGCATATCCATCGCGCGCTTTCTTTATCTATTCTCAAATGGTTGTTGGGCGAATCTCACAATAGAATTCCTCGCTACTTTCTCAGTAAAATTGCTATGCTGAATGTAAAAAAAAATAATTTCGCTATACCTGCGAACCCTTCTCCTCTAATAGCAATGCTCGAGCAAATATATGTTACTTTTATTTATTTCTCAGCCCTTCAATCATCCTGAGAAAAAACAAAAATTTCTACCGTTTCGACTGTATCAACAGTCTCTTCGCTCTTTGTATATATTATATGTGAGCGTCAGCTCGCGCGTCGTTCGAGTGTTGTCGAGGGAGAGGGTGATCTCTCTTGCCGTGTGGGTAATATGTAAATTAGATTACATAACTGTTTGTTTTCTTTTTCGGATTAACTCCGGTATACTGCTCGACTGTACGCGTGAACGACGCACTAACGTGATGCTCGCGCCGGTTCTATTTCTTCAAGTAAACTTGAAAGGCGCGTGATAAAGGAATGCTCTCTTTTTTTTGAAGATGTAATTTTACTGTTGAAATTTGTTAATGTGAAAGGAAAAAAAAATGGAAGAAAAAAAATGCTTGAAGTAGACCAAACCACTGTTGGGCGCCACTAAAACGGTGGTGCGACTTGCCCTTAAATCCACCCGTAGGATCCACCGATAATAGACGGGTATGCTCCGACTAGGTCAGTATAATTGTCGATCGACCAGGTGTCGATTGACCCGCGGAGGCGGTCGGGGTTTAACCCGTCGATTGAATTAGAGGTGAAGGATATGCAACGCAAATAAAGAGCTACGTTATAATAAAACGTTTGTAGATTTATTGTATCAGCGACTAGCCTTATACAACGTGCGACCTTCTCGCAGAGGTGCAATCAAGAGTTTCCGCCGAAACTCTGCGCCGCAATATAACTGATACCGCGTGAGAGAGAGAGAATGAGTCGTACCGTATTCACGAGCTTGCGAGCTTCGTCGACGGGAGGCTATCCTCCGGATCGCCCTCGCACGTGGATCAGACGGTTTTACTTCGCGCCGTCGGCTGGTCAACGAAGGGCTCCGTTGCTACGCGGCTGCAGGCCTGCTGGTCGAATCACGGAGGTGATGAGACGTCGTCGCCTCGAGCGCGATACTCGGATAGCGATGTGAACACGTCGAGCGTAGCGAGACGAAAAGCCTCGATGTCCGTTCGCGCGTTCGCGGGAGGTCTTCGCTATCGTGTTTCGGCTATCTTCGGTGATTGTCGGCTAATCGCTGTACTGTCTCTCTCTCTCTCTTTCGTCGTGCCGTATAATCGTGTGTGTGTGTGTCCTCACACTTGCGTTGGCTCTCGGCGCTCGCGATGTATGTAACTTTGTCGTGTTACAACTGGTTGACCGGCGCCTCTCTTCACATGTTCTCCGAATCATGTATTGAGCATAAATAATTACGCGCGCCCTTTTAGTATAATTGCGCGCATAAAATAATTAAACGGTTTTACCCCGTTACATGGCGCCCAACGTTAAAGAACCTACGGTGTTGTTGTGCACACTTGATACCGAAGGCCACGTTAGTAAACAGAGCCTGTTAGCTAGCTTGCGAAGGCCCGCCGCGGCGAAAAATTGTAAACATAGCTGTGAACGCGTGCGAGTGCGACCGAAAGATTCTTAAACGTAAACACCAACGAATTTTGAAAGTTGCCGCAAATAATATTATTATACCCGTTGGCCCGGGGAAAACTAACACCGGCAATTTTCAAACAAAATTAATTCAATTAAGTTATTTTATTTGACATCGTATTGTCTTAACGTAAATGTTTTTTTTTAATATTATTAACTGCGGCTATTGGTGATTACGCGCAACGCTCGTTACAATATTTTAGATACTAACTCACACAGCCGTACTAACAAACAGTTAGTGCATCTGATAGGCAGGATCATTATATTGCGTATTAAAGAGCGAAGAATCTTTCGGCAAACAAATCGTAAAACGCCTTTGATCAAGCCCAGTGTTGGCTAATAAATTTTTTATTTTCATTCAGCGTACGAATTGTAATACAACACTCGCACTCGCGTAACATACCTGTATTTTTACAAAGAAATCCAACGCAAGTAAACAAACAGACAATCATGGACCGCACTCAAACAGAGATAGAAAATTGGGTATGGACGCTCCAGGAGGAGGAAATCGAAGAATACCTCGAGCAACTGGAGCTCAAAACAAGCGGGACCAAGCTCTCGAGAGCTGCACGACTGCACAACTGGCTACTCGGCGACTATTCCGCAGCAGATTTCGCGGAAGCCGACAACCAACACAGCAGTCCAGCCAAAAGAGCCGCCCTACGCTCGGAGCTAATCGTATCCCTATGCCAGGAACACACAGCATCCGAGCAGGAGGGAGAACACCCGCTAGCCCAACTATTGCAAAGTGCGAACGTAATATCGCGAGTTCAGAAAACCGCGATAAACATCGCGAATGCCCTGGACAGCGGAGAGAACACGAATAGTAATAAAAGTATTACTATAACGGCTGACGATGGCAGCCAGTTCAAACTCCCCCGGCATTCGCGGTGATGATTCAAGACCTCATTTTCCGGTCCAGAGAAAATGAGAAGAAATTGAAAGTACAAGACTTACGGAATTCGAATACGTCTAACCTAACCCAAATAGTAGAACAAATCGTCAGAACCAACATCAAGGTGCAGGAACAAATGGACAACTTGTCAACCAGGATGAACGCACTGGAAAATGCCGTACACAGAGATATGCGGCAAGAAGATTCGAACAGTTCCAACGAGGAGCCACAACCGGAAAACACGCGTAGGAGCGTCGCATTCCAGGACACATTCACATGCCACTACGACGCTAGGCTACCCCAGAGCACTCCAGCCGGACCCGGACAGAGGCCCACGGGGGCCGCCGGCAGGACCCCCCGCCGGACGCCCCCTTTCGGAGAGGGTGGACAGCATCAACTCGGTGGAGTTAATGCTGAAGTGGACAACCACCCGTCGAGCATGTAGTCATCCCAACAGACGTCAAACCCGTGGTCGACAACAAGGGACGTCGGCCGCATCGTCCGGGGATGGGAACTCAGGTTCTCCGGAGAAGGCAACGCGAGTATTGACACCTTCTTATCAAGGTTGGACAACTCGAGGAGCAGCGCTGGACTTACGGAAGACGAGATGCTCATGGCCGTATCCGAGCTACTCGTCGGTCCTGCCCTCGTCTGGTTCGAAGCAATGCGAAACGAATGGTTCTCCTACGCGGATTTCGAGGCAGACGCCAGAGCATGGTTTGGGACCAGCAGGCAACAACAGCAGCGTCTAACCAAAGAGGTTCAAGGCCGATACCAGGGCCCAGACGAACCCGCGAACGTATACATCGCGAACATGATGGGCCTAGTGAGTCGGCTGAACCCCAAAATGACACACGAGAGCCAGCTGGACCTGCTACATGCCAACCTCCTACCGGAAATCCAGAGCCAAATACGGAGATCAGAGGTGGACTCCGTACGGACCCTGAACGACCTGGCCACGACGGCCCAGAATAACTTGCATCAGCGAAGGATGGAGCGGACGATACCAGATCCTCAGTCGACTTTATATCCTGAGTTGGCGTATCACCCCCGCACTGACGCGAGCAAGGGTCGTAAGGGGAAAGTGGCATCTATGTCCGGTGACAAACCGGAAGTCAGTGATAGATTGGACCGCATGGAGAAGGTAGTCGAGAAGGTGACGCACCAGGTCGTCTACACACCGACGCCCTCGAGGGCGACACCTAATCCGATTCTGGAATCCGTCGATGGCGAGAAAAAGGTTCTGTCCATCGACATGTTTAACCAAATACTGTTGTCCATCAAGGAAATGTCGGCGGAAATGAAGAATAATCGCGCCGACAAAAGTCTAACTTCCGAGGACCGAGCCAAAAGGCCAGAGACTCCCCGCAGACGAGGAAGAGAGTTCTCAGGACCGATCAAATGTGCCGAGTGTGGCCTACTGGGTTACTACAGGAAGTTCTGTCCCCAATGCAATAAGGGAAACGAGCAAAGGAGTGGATAGGTGGGGTTGATCCCACTCCTTCATCCAGTAACCCAAACCCCATCAAAGAGATCTCGCAGCCTCCGCCAACACAGCCCACGCCGTTAGTAGCGAGCGTGTTGAGCGACGAGAGTGAGAACTCCCTTAGTGACGCCAAAGATAAACGTGGCGGTAGAGTGCACATGGAGAAAAAGGGTTGTGACGCTAGTAAAGCCAGAGACCCTAGACCAGCCGAGGCGGTGACGTATGGATCGCACACGCCCTCGGGGGCACGGGCAAAGGCGGATAAATCGTCGAAGAGTAACCCCATGGAAACTCCGATCGTCGAAACCAAAGGGGCTCGGACGACAAGTAACGTCACTCGACCACGCGACAGCACAATGGCTAGCGCTATGATGAATAAGGAGCAAAGCTGTGGAGCCGTCGAAGCTGTTTCCCGATATTCCCCGGAACAGGAGACGCGTTGGTGGCTACCGGTGAAAATAGGGGACTTCCAAATACGGGCCCTCTATGATCCGGGAGCTTCCACCACAGCCATGGGTAGTAATACTCTACAAATAGCGTCTGTGCTGGGCGTCAGGTTGGACACCACCCACGCAGGTACAGCAGGATTACCAGACGGTCGTAAGTTAACGATCGTTGGTCAC